AAATAATATTGTTGGACCCTAGCCCTAATTTCTCATTTGGGTGTTTAATTAGGGATTCACTTCTAATCAAACTTTTTTCATTTCCTTTTCAGATGTTGAACATGAACAACAACAACGCTTCCGGCTCGAATTCCTCCGGCTCATTCTCACTCATGAACTTGTGTGGGAGCGTTATATTTGATGGAAAAAATTTCAATGATTAGATCTATAACATAACAATGGTCACCCGTTGTGAGGACAAAGAGTATGTCCTTGATAAGGAGCTGAAGGAGATCGACGTGAACACTGCCACTCCCGAAGAGATGGCTGACTTTGAGGCTCACGAGCGTGATGCCACAAAAGTCCATTGCATCATGCTAGCGACAATGACTTCCGAACTCCAAAATTCCTATGAGGACATGTACCCCTATGATATGCATCAAGACTTGTTGGACCAGTACCACCAAAGTGTGAGGCAAGAAAGGTACGAGATAATCACTTCAATGATCACTACCCGAATAGGTAATGGAAAGTCCCTTACCACCCATCTTCAAAAGATGCAGAGATATGTTGATCGCCTACTAAAGTTGAATGTTAAATTTGATGAATAGATGGCGATTGACATCATCCTTCACTGCCTCCTTGCTACAACTAGTTCCGCATGACCTACCATATGAATAAGGAAGAAGTCACTTTGAACAATCTTCAAGGCTTGCTAAGGATTGTTAAGAGCAATCTCAAAGATAATTCTGTTGCATCAACTCCCACTCCAACTGGTTCCCTTGTTTTGGATCTTGGGCAAGGGAAGGGTAAGAAGAGGAAGGCTCCCTCAAATAGTCACCACAAGGGAAAGTCCTATGATGGTACCTCTTCTAGTGGAACCAAAGTTAGTTCTGCTAAACCCAACTCAAACCCTAAGGAGGCAGAGTGCCACCACTGCTACAAGATAGGGCATTGGAAGAGAATCTGGCTTGAATATATGCAGGCAATCAAGGATGGGAAGATCAATCCATACTACACAGGTATTTACACAATTAAATCTAATGATTCATCACATTCATTTCTTGGGTACTTGATATAGGATGTGGTTTTGACATTTATTCTGATTTGTAGGGCCTAAGAAGAGATAGAGATGTGGAGAACGGGAAAGTAAATTTGATCATGGGGAACAGAAGATCGTCGTCTGTTACCAAGATCGAAGTTTACTCTTTAATGCTCAGTAGTGGATTAGGATTAGATTTAAACAATTGTTGGTATTCGCCAGATATGGAAAGAAACATCATTTCATTTCATGGTTTGAGGCCACTAAAAATTATAATAAAATTATGAATAAATTAGACTCATTTTCCTAACTCACAGAGTTTACAGATCCGAATTTCAACTTACGATGATTTTTCTATAAATTTTCTAAATACACGGACAGAAATGTCAAAAATAACAAATTGTTTTTATCAAGTTAAAAGCTCTTATACCGGTGTTAGATGCAAGTGTGTATAACTTATATATACTTTTAAAAAATCTAGACATGTTAATTTATATATATTCTTTCCTTTCTTGGGCCTGAAAAATTAATATACATGTTTAATGGACCTTAGTGTTCTTTTACATTTTTAGTGGGCCTTAGTGTCCTTTTGCATGTTTAGTGGGCCTTAGTGTCCTTTTACATGTTTAGGGGGCCTTAGTGTCATTTTACATGTTTAGTGAGACTTAGTTGTCCTTTTACATATATATTGGACCCGCGATATACATCCATATTCCTTTTGAGCCTGGAAATAATATACATGTTTAGTGAGCCTTAGTTGCCCACTCACATGTTTATCGGGCCTGAAATATACCTGTGACATCCCCAATTTCACGGCTGATCGAGGTTGTTGCCTCGGTCAAAAACAAACCTCACACACACTAGATAGCTCGGGTAAGTAAGCATCGAATCCACGAGGAGGTTGTGGTCAAACTTTGCGTTAAAATACTCAATGAAAAAGAACTAATACTTTCAATTGTCACGAATTCAAATTAAACTAAAATAAACTAAACAACTAGAGACTTCATGTTGCTAAAGGTTGTAAAAAAATCCTATGAATGAGAAAACAAGGTACTTCCAGTTCATTTGTTCAGATGGTTGGACTTACACGTTTTTCTTCCCTTAAATTCCAATTTAATTACCTAGACATAATTAAGGTTGATTAACTTGCAACAAATAATTTTGAGCACACAATATGTTATTCCAACTAGTTGTCTTACTCCCTACGTCTAATTGGATTAGGAACAACTAGTGGTTTGGCGATAATGTGTCTTACGATTACCTATTACAATGTTGAATATATAATACTACAAACTCGGAATAATGTATGTGGGTTCAATTGATCATCTTAGTTCCTAAACTACTTGAATTCAGAATGATTAGTGAATTAACAATACACTATCTTAGTTGGAATATCACCCAATAAGAAAACCCAACTCCAATCATTGTAAGTAAAAATCATAACTTTAAGAATGAAACAATAACTAAAATTGACTAGAATAAAAGTAATAATCAAAATGTGTTCATCCTAACATCCTACAACGTTCCCAGAAGTAACCTATGTGGTTTAGTCTTCCATAACAATAAAAAAGCACACAAATTGAATAAAAACAATGGAATTCATACTAAAATTTATAAACAAACTTGAAGTCATAAAAATAATAAAGTCTAATGATCAATCAATCATGGAACGATGAAACCTTGGAGAAGAAGTAACCAAATCTGGAGATTGATGGAATTGATGACGATTCACTAGTTGAATGATCTTCAAACGTTGCTTGATGATGAACTTGGTGATTCGTAGCCTCGGATTCAGAAATTGATGATCAAAACGCGTTTAGAGAAGGTTTGAAAGTGTTTGGAACCCTCCAAAACTAAGGAAAATCGCAGGGGAGAGGTCCAAAATCGATTAGGGTTAAATCTCCTTTAAATAGGTGCTGAAAAACTGATTTTCGGAGTTGTTTCCGTATCGGCGCCCTAGTAAGCGTCTTGGACGTCATATAGGACATCCGAGCGTCCTTCAAGACGTTTTACATGCCTTCTGTCATCCTTGATTTGCACTTGAAAATGGCCTAAAACGGGTAGGCGTTCTAGGACGTCCCTCATCTTTGTTGCCTCTTTTTTGGTGATGAAAACGGTAGAATCAGTAAAAACGCAAAACATGAAAGTTGTAGGAAATGTTGTCTAGTTTTCAGAAATTCTTCATTCATGTCAATTGGAGCTCTATATGTTGATATATGATCAAAACATTGAAGAGTGGTCAAATTTCTTAGCACCATTTTTCTTCATTCCTTTAGCAATTCGTCTCCCATGCTTGTTAGCTTTCTTTTTCTCATTTTCTTGCGGGTTCCACCCACTTTAGGACTAAGTATTTACCTGCATATGAAGTTCAACAACTCATCAAAATAGTATCATTCTTGGACAATTTTGCATCAATTCAACAGATTTATGACAATTTAGTATATTCATAAAATAGACTTATCAAACCTCCCCAACTTTTTTCCAACCTCGTCCTGAGATTGGCCTGAAATAATTAGTGTAGGCTTACTCTCTAATACTAAGAAAAACTCAATGAAATCACGAATTCCGTACATTTCATCAAAATATTTTCAATAAGCACAATATATTGATTTTGGGGATTATTAGTTTCATATCCGGACTTTTAAACTCAAAACACATGTTATGCTTATTTTACTTTGTTGTTTGAAACCCTCCACTTTTTGAACCCTTTCCAATAATCAACCTCATGAGTAATCAGTTGAACTCATTGCCAAAGTCCCCTTTTCAAGGTTCACTAACAAAGTTAGCGCGGTCGGTAACACTTAATGGACCAACCCATACACTCCCATTATTGAGGGGTCATATATTGTTTCACACAATGTCTTCAACTTGAACTTTTCTTCATATTTATCTTTATTGTGCATTCTTCAAGTTTTTTTATGGCTTCGTTGGAGTTGATCTTCTTTGTATTTGACTTGAGCTTGAATATAGATACTTGGAAGTTCTTTAATGTCTTTTTATGCTTTTTGGTTGTGTGAAAACAATAATAGTCCCCTCCCAACCCCAAAGGTGCAGGAGTAAGTAAGACCAAGTACTCAGAGCGTGATGGCACATATTGTTCGGTTGGGTCCTCAATTGAAAGATCGTAGGCTCGAGCTAAAAACCTTCATTTTTCAAACACTTTGGTATTTCACATAACAATTTTTAAATAAATATAAATATTTCCAAACCGGCTGAGCAACCCACAAAATCAATATTAAATATATATTATGACTCAATGTACGAAACTCCTATCATTTTCCATCTTGATGAGTTACATTAAAGATATAGAGATGCTACTAACTCATCACATATTTCATACAACCAACCCAGGGGAATACAATAATAATAATAATAAAATTAAGATAGCAGCACATTCATCCGAAATTGATTATCAAAATGAAAGTCATCAAAACTAATGAAAAATACAAACAAGGAGGTGACACACATGATGCTACCGATAGTAAAGGCGGTTTTGATTCCCCACATTCATCCTACTTGCATAATGTTTCACTATGCCCGAATGAAAACCGAAGAATTATGATTTTTTTAAATCACTTTTTCTTTAATCCCCCATCTTTTTCTTGTGTATACCCCTCCCCAACTTTAAGTCTTGCATCGTCCTCGATGCATCAAAAGATAAATTCCTAAAATAAGAATAGAAAAAAAAAACTACAAGCACACAAATCAAATCAAATAAAAATAAACTACACTAACTAGCCCTCAATTTCGTCAGGGTCCACTATTGCACTTGGCACGTGCAACAAGCCTTTTAAACCCCTAGGTTACCCCTAGTGGACGAGTGAAGTCTCGTGAGGGTTTGCAATGAACTTACACACAAAGTTCCAAAATTGCCAAGTTTAATGTCATTAGCGGGACAAGGTACCTCGACCGATGTCTATGGAGGATCATATGTTAATTGACTTCCTTGAAAGCCAACCATGAGGTCACTCACCTTACTTTAAGGAATTAGACCACGTGGAATGCATTCTTTGACCTTGTATAAATAAACCATTTTGCCTTTAATCTTTCCACAATGATGCTTAAACCTTGATTTGAACAGCCAAGCATAATTTTTACTACTGGACTTTTTGACTCGATGTTTGGTATCATTAAACACCTTCATCTTTGATTTATGGGTAAGCACGACATCATGTTTCGTGGTCCATAAATTTTTTTTCACTTGTTGACACCCGATCTCATTCAACTCTATTAACCTATAGCAAGGTAAAGGTTTCTCCAAATCGTGGGTGGTGTCATAGAGCATATTTGCGGTATGCTCATAAACATAATCATCAATAGTATTGATCACAAATAGTTCACCATTGATTGGAGGATCATTAGTAGGTCCAAATAATAGGAGTCTCAATTTATGTTTTCCAAATATCATATCAATTGCACCTTCTCGACAACTAATCTGAGCATAGATTGTTGCCAAAAAGGAAAGATAAATAATTACATTTGTGTGTTTGTATTTGGAAATTTTTTTAGAATCTATTGCAACAAGAAGTTGTATTTCGGGTTTTTTCAAAATTGTTGGGTAAGGGGTGGTACTAGCCTTCACAAACCCCTCCCCAACTTTGGACTCTTCCAACTCATGAAACTCTTCATTAGACTTTTCAAATTCAATTATAGCTTCTTTAATTTCGAACATCCTTTAGGTATCATTATCATTTAAAGGTACATCATCCTCCACTACAACCTCAATTTTGGGTGGTGTAGGATTATGCACAACATTGTCATTACATAGAAAACTTACCTCATTTACTTGGGTAGTGTCCGAAGGTTTTCCCGGTGGTTGTTACTTTAGCTGCTCCGTTATTCTTCTAGTTGATCTTCAATTGCCGAAATTGATTGGGAGTTGTTTTCCTCCTTGTTGAAGGTTTCATTCAACATGTCCAACATTTGATCCAACTTCTTGCTAAATGAAGATTTTTCTGATTCTTGGTCATCCGGGAAATAATATGGTTCATGGTGTTGGTGTTGAGTTCATTCGTCAGTCCACCAACAATCATCATCATATGGATAATTATATGGATAATCATTATATGACTGATTGTATGGATCATTATTGTATTGATCTTGACCCGGATTTCCACTCCCCCACCACATATCTTCATTAATATAAATGTATTCCTCCATTCATGATAGTCCCTACACATAAACAGTAAAATAGTGAAGATTCTAAACTAAAAATAAAACAAAATAAAATAAAACTTAAAGACTACTTCAACACAAAAGTTTAAGCGCACAATCTCCTAGGAAACGGCTCCAAGTTTTGATCGAGGTCGTTGTCTTGGTCAAAAATAAACCTCACACACACTAGATAGCTAGGGTAAGTAAGGGTCGAATCCACGAGGAGGTTGTGGTCAAACTTTGTGTTAAAATAGTCAATGAAAAAGAACTAATACTTGCAATTGTTACGAATTCAAATTAAACTAAAATAAAATAAACAACTAGAGACTTCATGTTGCAAAAGGTTGTAAATAAAATACTATGAATGAGAAAACAAGGTACTTCAGGTTCAGTTGTTCAGATGGTTGGACTTACACGTTTTTCTTCCCTTAAATTCCAATTTAATTACCTAGACATAATTAAGGTTGATTAACTTGCAACAAATAATTTTGAGCACACAATATGTTATTCCAACTAGTTGTCTTACTCCCTATGTCTAATTGGATTAGGAACAACTAGTGGTTTGGCGATAATGTGTGACTACCCGACATTTCTACACTGTGAAATTGATCCATATATATGTAATTCACTTGAATTTAGCATCTTTTAGCAGAATGTCGGGTCCGCACGAGTGCTTTAGGCTTAGTATATCATAGATAAGGACCTTAGGAAGGGATAGGAAGGGTGTTGCATCACAAAATCCAGCCAAACACACCAAGAGAGGTGTGTGCGGCCAGCCAGCCGCACACCCAACTGCAAACCCACTCCAGCCTCACACCCGACCCTATATATAGTAGAGGACCCCTTTCCATTCACTTTTAACTGCACTCTCTCTCTCTACTTTCTCTCTCTAAAAACTGTTGGGTTTGAGCCATAAGAACTTTCCTATGTACACATGCAAACCCTAATTGCTTGGATCTAGGTTTCTCTAATTGAACATGCAATATATCCAAGACTTTCATGGCTAGATCTAATTTAAACTAACAATCAAAACATATGAAAATAGATCTAGAATTATACCTTGAATTACTTGCTTGAAACCTTCTTCTCCTTGGAGCTTAGAGTCACAATTGTCACTCCTCTAATGGCTTACAAACACCAACTAACAAGAAGATGATTCGAGAGAGGTAAGGAAGAGGGAAATAGGCTCTAGGGTTACTCCAATAACAAAGGTGTCGATTTCCACAACCCCAAGGGTCTATTTATATCGTGAGCTCCTAGGGTTTCACCCTAAAACCCTAATTGGATAACTTAGCCTCAAAGCAATCCAATATCCCTTCTAGATAAGCCTTGGACGATTTCTAGGTGATCCACATCCCTAAAATCGTCTAACCCATATCCATAAGGATTCTTAGCTCAAAATACAACTATCACACATTTGACAGTTTATACCCCTTTCTTCAATTAATCTCTTTAAGTCACCAAATTAATTCCTAATTAATTTATGACTTATATTAATCAAATTAATATTATTATTACTTTAACATATTATTCTCATAATACACTAATAATAATATCTCTTCTCTCTATATAAATCACCCTGTTAAGTTGCTATGGTGAAGGCAACCCAAAAGGACCATGCACAATTGCGTCAAGTACTTACCAAATATAGTTACAGCCTTAGACACTAATCCAACAGTCTCCCACTTGGATAAGTCTAGCAACTATAAACGCAAACACAATTCGATCAGCAATCGTAGCTCTCAAAGATGCTGTCAACTCTGATCTTATCAGTAACCTGTACATTAGATAAGGGATCGTATAGTCCTCTGTTTTGATATCGTGCATATGATTTCATGAAACATTGTCATACTTATTGTCCAGCAACTATTTTCTCGATCTTAGATATATTTGACATAGAACTTAATTGAACACATCAATTTAGTCCTGATCGGGCCCGGAACATAAGTCAAATCAAATCATCGAGCGGCCGTGATATCGCTTTTAACCTCTTAGGATAAAAGTAACAAATAAACTTCGACTTATATGCATCTACTTATTGACTAATCAACTATACATAACAATGCGTTTTATGACATCAATTGACTGATGTGGTTTCGCATTATCAATGTACAACCAATTAGTAAATAATAAGCCATATATCTAGTTTTTAAGACCATATGATATTATCATCTTGCGATCACCCCAAAGTGATTCCAGCAAGCGCGGGTTTATTCTAATGCTCAAAACTTGTTCATAAGCACTCATGAACGTTGCAGCAAACCTTGCTATGTCTAATACCATTTAGACAATCTACACACCAATTCATGACGATCTTCATTCATACCTACTTCCAACATATGAACGATTGTGGACCATTCGAATAACTCGATTATTCTTAATAATTTAATTATTCAGGAAGTCAAAACATGCAAATTGAAACAATAGCTAAACAAGTAACATAAGATAGTAACGTTACTTATAAACAATACTCTTTTATTTAATCATCAAATGTCAATTACATTTACCTATTAACCGTTTTTAAAACTATCTAATATAAACTAACATCATCCTTCAGCCCAATACTACTAGCATGCTGCAAGTGCTTAACCCTACTCAGTCCCTTCGTAAGCGGATCTGCTGGGTTATCTTCTGATTATATCCTTTTAACTTCGAGGTGTCCTTCTTCTAATTGATGCCTAATAGAGTGATATTTTCTGTCGATATGCCGAGATCTACCATGATCCCTCGGTTCGTTGGTCAAGGCAACCGCTCCTTCATTATCACAAAAAATTTCCATGGGCTCCTTTATAGCAAGCACAACTCCAAGATCGCCAATGAAGTTCTTCAACCATATTGCCTCTTTTGACGCTTCGCTCGCTGCAATGTACTCTGATTCGCACGTTGAATCAGCTACAGTTTCCTGTTTGGAACTTTTCCAAGTTATCACTGCTCCATTAGGGGTAAATACCCATCCCGACTGCGAACGGTAGTTATCCCTGTCGGTTTGGAAACTATCGTCACTATACCCTCGCACCTTGAAGTCATCACTCCCTCTGAGGACTAGAAACCATTCCTTGGTCCTCCAAAGGTACTTAAGGATGTTCTTTTCCACAATCCAATGCGCTCTTCAAGGATTCCCTTGATATCTACTGACCATGCTTAAAGCAAAGGCCACATCAGGGCGAGTACTAGACGTTTCAGTACTTTATCTCAGCTATCTCGGCTTCGGTACTCGATTGAGCCAACTACGGAAGCGTAAAGTACTCGACTCATCTCAGCTATCTCGGCTTCGGTACTCGGACTTTGAGTCTTACTCAACTTTGTATTACTTTGTATCGGTAGTTCTCCCTTCTTTGAGTTTTCCATACTAAAACGTTTCAGTACTTTATCTAAGTAAGTATTCTGACTAAGTCCTATTAGTCTCTTACTTCTTTCTCTCACTATCCTTATTCCCAATATATAGGAAGCCTCTCCGAGGTCCTTCATAGTGAAGCACTTCCCGAGCCAGGACTTTACCTCCTGCAGAGTCGGGATGTCGTTTCCTATAAGTAGTATGTCATCGACATACAAAACGAGAAAGCTAACTATGCTCCCATTGGCTTTGCATATACACATGATTCATCTTCGCTTCGTACAAATCCAAACTCTCTGACTTTCTCATCAAAGCAAAGATTCCATCTGCGAGATGCTTACTTAAGTCCCTAAATGGACTTCTCAAGCTTGCACACTCTATTGGGATGCTTCGGATCGACAAAACTCTCTGGCTGAGCCATGTAAACATCCTCAGCTAACTTCCCATTAAGGAAAGCGGTTTTGACATCCATTTGTCATATCTCATAATCATGAAATGCAGCAATGGCTAGCATCACCCTGATAGATGTTATCTTAGCAACTGGTGAGAAGGTCTCATCATAGTCAACTCCGGGAGTTTGAGTAAAGCCCTTCGCCACTAGTTGTGCCTTATACGTGTGCACATTCCCATCCACGTCGGTCTTCTTCTTGAAGATCCATTTGTACCCAACCGTATTACGTCCGGGCACATTATCAACCAAATTCCAAACTTGGTTGTCATACATGGACTGAATCTCGCTATCCATTGCCTCTTTTGATTTAGCAGACTCTGGGCCTGCCATGGCATCCTTATAGCTGTTAGGTTCATCTAGGTTTACTAATGTATTGTCACTAATATACGTGTCCCCTTCGGTAGTAATATGAAAGCCATATAACTCAGGTTGAACTCTAACTCTTTCGGAACGTCTAAGAGGTAAGGATTGGTTAATCGGTTCAACCGGTGTTTCCTCCTCGGGTTGAGCGCCAGCGGTAGAGGTTCCTTCATCACTCGATTCTTGAATCTCTTCAAGATCGATCTGCCTCCCACTGTCTCCTTGGTTTATGAGTTCTTGTTCTCGGAAAACCCCTCTTCTTGCTACGAAGACAACATTGTCACCCGGTCTACTGAAAAGATATCCAAAGGATTTCTGCGGGTAGTTGATGAAAATACATCGCTCACTACAATGTTTGAGCTTGTCATGAGTT